ATCCAGTCTGGTAATGATGTGTGAGCTTGTCGACATCGATATGTTTTTCCTTGATATTTTACTTGATCATTAACCAAATATGAATGATGAGGTTTCCATTCAGAAGCATTGCCTGGATTGGTTGATTGAGTTGTTGTTGTCGTCGTAACCTTTATAGTAATAGAAGGTTTAGTCGATGATGAACTAGTTACTACTGGTGGTTTAACACCATTATTTAATACATTGAATGTTGCACCAATCAATTCTGTCTGACGATCGCTACTTAATTCCCAGAAAAAGGCACCACCTAATTTGTTTTGTTTAATATAATTATTTTTCAAATTAATTGATTCAACATCATCATAACTAATCCATAGACCAGTTGATGGATTGAAAAGAAATGGTACTTTTGATTGATCATCCCAATAACGTTTATTGGATGAAATAAAAGATTTTTTCAAATGATCATAATCATAAATACCATTTTCCCAAGTACCAGTCGGAAGTTGACTTGATGCTGTTTGTGAAAATCCGTTAAGAGCTGTGTTTGTTACTCCTAAAATGAATGATTTTATTATTGGAAAGAGATATTTCTAAATGAAACCTTGCCAACCACGTCCATACAAAGCTAAACCCATAAGAATTTTCGTTGAAGATACTCCAGCTGTAATATAAGCTTGAATTGCTGCATCACAATTATATTTTGATTTGATGAATGATGGAGCGGTGTCACTTGTTGTTTCATCATTGTTTTTATATAATGGAGCATTGTGACCTGTTTTTGTTTCCCAACCACCTAAAGATTTATCTCGCATTGTCAAAGAAATCATTCTGGAGATTTTAATGAGAAAGAACTAACCATGAAAATCATAAGTCATAACATTGAACCAATCAAGATATGCAGCCATACCAGGTAAATTCATATCAGCAATACGTTCAGTACCTGCTCCGGTTCTATAAAGAATAAATAAAAAAACAACAAGAAAGAAAATTAATAAATATCTATTCAAGATTCATTTTACTTACGCTACAGTTAACAAATATTTCTTATTGGGTACAGCATCCAACTGACGACGAAGTTCTTTTAATAAAAGCACATAATTTTGTTTATCTTCTGGACGACGACTATTGCTTGGCAAACCACCAGAAACAGGATATTCCCTACAATTATAACATATCATTCTTTCTAAAATGTTTTTTCATAAGTATATCATTTAAATTCTTAATAGGACAGGCCTGTTGTGTTCTATAAGTAAACGTAAGCAATTGTACGTTACTGTTCGCTACCGTAATAATGCGTACATATTCGTTTAGATAGCATATGGTTTTATTTACGAGTTTAATATAGTGACATAGAAGAAGTGGAACGTGAAAGATTTCTCTTTAAACATGAATATGTTCTCGTGAAATTTTTCTAAAATTGGTTGTAAACACTTCTTTATAAACAGATTCTTAAAAACGTATCTCAGTTGATTTGTCAAAATTTTTTGTACAATATTTAATAAATAACTTTCAAAATTCTTCTATTTTAAATGATTTATTAATGTTTCTGAATGATTCTGTATGATTTGAATTTCTTAGTGTGATATTTGTTTTTTCATTTGCATCAATTGATTTACTCACCAATCTAAATCAACACCATCAAAACCATATTTCTTAATGAATTCTACACATGAAGCAGCAAATGTTGATCGACTTTGATCAGTGAGAGCCACATCCGAAAATTTACCTGACCATGTCTATCAAAATAAATCATATATTATATTTAAAACAAAAAAAACCAAGATTTACCCAACCACCAACAGAAATAAGTGTACGTAAATGTGGATATTTTTCTTTCAATTTAATTAATTGATTAAAATTACCACGCAATGGTTGATCCCATGTGTCACCAGCAAATGTCTTCTCTATATCTGCCCATGAGTCACCAAGAGTAATACGTCCATCTGAACCAATATTTGCAAATGCATAATTTATATGTGTAATTTTATCTCCTGGAATATCACTGACAAAATACGAACGTTGATAAATTGACCAAGCAGTAAAATAAGCAAGGATAATTGGACCAGCTACCATCGGATCGTTTTTTTTTATTTGTTGTTTTTTAGTCCGAAATCATACTTTTTATATACAGGAGCAGATGCAATAGGAATACTGATGATGTTTAACAAGGTGGAAATAAATAAAACAAGTGGGATGAGAAAGAAAGGAGAAATTCAAATGTTAACAAGAGCAGAAAAACGAAAATCTTATATGTCATGAAGGAGAACGCAGGAAAGGAAAAATCTATATGACTTGAAAGAGAGGAAAGACACAGGAAAGTAAATGCATTGTCAGAGAACGATTCAGTGGGGTGGATTCTATTTACTTCGTAACAACAACACCGTAAAATCCGAAAATGTTAATAAAAAAAAATCATTTGCAAAATCTTACAAATTATTTAAATTTTCAATTCAGTTTTTGCAATAATAATATTTCAATAATCTTTAATATCCTATCAACTGTGATTATGATGGTTCTAATGAAAATATTGAATAGAATAGTATTATGACAAGTTTCAGCAATTTCTTCCATTGCACATATGAACTAAATCAATTCTGTTCGTAGATATAAAATCCTTTCAAAAATTTCGATAAAGAAAATGTCTATAATAAACATTCGAGGCAGAAGAAGACAAAATAAATGTACTATGTTCATATGTAACTAAACTAATTTATTAACATTTAGTTTTCATCTTAAAAAATAAATAATCAAGGATAGGAAAGTTAAAATATTCTCTATCTACATAAAAAGAAATTGATAATATTCAAAATATTCATAAGATATTATATCTTTTAAAATGGAAAAATATATTATAAATAAAGAAACGTAATTTACTCGCTTAGTGTCTAGTTCCTTTCAAATAAAATATCATATCATATTCTATTGAACTACTTAGGTATTTCTTCGTTCTTTGAAGGGCCAACAAAACTGAAAAGTTGACCTTGGTAGATGAGCATCAGCAACACAAGAGTTAAATTCATTCAACTTCTTTCTTATTGACTATGATTTTTTACTGTAAATAGGATTTGTCGATACATTTGACAAGAATAAAGCAAGACCTAAATGTATTCATAAAAAGAATTGTGAGTGATCCAGCATTACCACAGCTCGTGACGGAAGAACCGACGATGGTCAGATAAAGCGCTATTAAATTACATCTTCACCGTCACTCTCTCATTCTCACTTTCAAAACCATTTTCATGTAATAATCCCTACAACTCCATTCTGATTGTATGTTTCTGCATGTGCAGTATCATAGCAGGACAAAATGAGTTATCTGCAGAGCAGGCACTGTGGAACAAGCGTTCTATGACGATCTCTAGTTTCTATATCTATTGCGAGATTTTTTATTCATAAGATAATGTTTCTTTATTTTTCATTTCAATTCAAAGTTACTTTTTTTTTAATGGTTATTTTCGTTGTATGAAATGTACGTCTGTCGAAGACAATCGTATGGTACTGAACTATTATAAAAAAAAAACTTGTCGCATTAATAAACTTCTGAATAGAAGCTAAAAATCATTATAGTTATAAGAATATGAATGATTTTAAAACTATTCAATGTAAATTAAAGATTTCCATACATTTAAAGCTCAAATATTTGTTATGACTATTCAACCATTCAATTATCCAATTATTCAACTATTTAGCTATTCAATTATTCAACTATTGAGCGACTGAATTATTCAATCAGAGAGTGTGGGTGTGTGGGTTTGGGTGAAGAAATGATTCACATTCGCACACCTACACCCTACGCGTGTGACAATATTGGGCGTGAAAACGTTTATACGATTCATATTCTATGCATGTAAATGAGTACACACAGTTAAAATGCAGAATATGTAATTATGCACGCTTAAAATTTACTCTGCTTTAGCGATTTTCAAGACCACTCTACCAAGCACGTGTTTAAACGCCCAAAGAGAACAATTTTTATGGCATTTAAACGCGTTTTCTGGAATACTTGTCTGCCCGGGGAGACATTTAAAAAATGCACACACTGGAAAGTATGCGTCGAATGAAAAACGTTTAATGAACGTTCATCGTTTTCTATCGTATCTCACTGTGAGTCGTCGTTTACGTTAATTTGCAGTCATTAAGATTTAGAATTAGCATCTAACAATACCAGTGCTGATGCTTTTATATAATCATTGTCCATCAGGACTTATGTTTTCACACATTATAAGCTTTAGGTTTATTTAATGTTGATATGTTTGAAATAAATTAGCATGCTTTTGGACATCACCAAATGCACACAATCTAGATTATGACAGTATTAGTTAGCATAGTACCGGTAAAATCTCAGGTGATGGTTCTAGAGCTCTAGGTAACCTATCTATCGACCTGGGCGATGCTTCTAGCATCCGAGGTGATGCCTATGGCAAGGCAGATGATACTTCTACAAGCGATATTAGATATACATATAATAGTTCAAAATTCTAGCATCTCGCCTTCTCTTTGTAGTGAACGCCTTTCAGTGGTTAAGGCAACGTCAAGTATGACGGACGAACTATTAAAACCTGGGCTGATTCCAGTCTATATATATAACCGTTTCCCTATAGTTCAGTCTACTTGCATGCCAAGTGAGATACGAGTAAGTTGAAATAAAATCCTCTAAAAATCATCAAGTATTGGTGGACAGCAGCATTTATGTTTCCGCCAGCTATGAACAGTAAAAAGTTCATATAGAAGGGTTAAATAACTCTTACTTCATAGTGTATACGTGTACAGGTAGACCATTCTTTAAATGTAACATTCAAAGGCATTTTAAATCGTTTTTTTTTTGAAACACAACCAATAACTCTTGATTAGTTTGCTGAACTCTTAGAAGTCAACTGACATAACTATGCTATTCGAATTTTGAACAGTAATATTCTTCATACCTTCTGTTCCTCTATCTTTCCGAGCCGAATAGAAAGCGTGCGTTTTACGGAAACGAATCGAACAAAATTTCTTTTCAAAATTTTGAAAAAGTTCATGAAACCCTTTTTCGAACATGTGAAAAAAAGCGGATTTCTTAGCGAGTCGATTGAATTTTTAAAAAAATATGGCATTGTGAAGACTTCTTACGATCGTCATCTTTGTTATAGGTGAACATTTGTTGAAATAGTATAGCTTTTCAAAAAGATCTTTAAAATGCCTTTTTTCGAAGACATTTCAAATACTGTTGTTTTCAGTTCAAATGATTAAATTCTAATAGAATAAGGCACTGTTAAACCTTTTCAATAATATCACCATTGCTTTAGATGACTATTTTTCGAATTAAAATGTTTTTGTGAGGAAGACCGTTTAAAGGCGTTTTTTTAAGAAATTGTGAAAGAAGATGGTTTTGTATCTAAATGGATTATAATATATATATATATAAAGAGCTTTATTTGAGTGGATTGACCTTATTGGTCTTGATCACTTAAAAATAATTTTACAAATGAGAAGAAAATTTTAGTTTAATCGATCAAAGAAAATTTGATAAAAAGATTTTCGCTATATGTAACTATGATCGTGGTGAATTAACTAAGATAAGAAAATGTTGCTGTAGAATTGGAGAAGTTTATCAATATATGTAGATGAATTCTGATAAAACGTTGCGATGCATGTGCTGGATCGATCTCTTCGCAGTGATGGAATACATGTCCTTTCACGGTAATATTGATGTGTCTTATTTACAATACTTTTGTGCTGTAAATAGCATTCAATTCGTTCTTGCTCGTACTGTTCGAGGTTGTTTAACCGTTTTGCTAAACATTTTCTATATTTTCTTCGAGTGACGGTAGCTGAAATACTTCATGAAGGTCATTTGTTGGACATTGAAAAGATGATATACTATTCTTAAATAACGACGATACCAGCTATTAACATCTTGCTTTAGTGTATTTGATGATAAACAATAAATTGTTGACATTGCATGTAGGTGCGGCCATATGTATGTGGTGAAGAAGTGTAGTTTTAGCTTGTAGTACGAGGAGAATCGACGATGGATGTATTTCATATTCATGAAGTCTAATTCCAAATGGATTATAATAGAAAAGATATTGTAAAACCCTTTCGTAACCTACGCCTCTATATTAGATAATTCCATTGCAGACAAATGGGTTTTGTTGAAAAAAGCTTTTTTTGAAAAGCCTTTAAATTAAATGATTTTAAATCCTGTTGATTGGATTCTCATAGAAAAAGATATTGTAACATCTTTCCAGGACGTTTATGATTCTCTCAGAACGGTTGTATATGACCGTTTCCGGTGATATTACGACGGTAAACGCTGCCTTATAATGTCGTGTATGTTAGAAATGTGGTCGTTTGACGGTGCAAATGCTAACATTAAGTTTTTTCGTCTTACGCAGCTTACGGCACGTATATAGCCGTATGTTACCGGTTTACTGCCGTTTACGGCATCGTTAGCGGTCGTGTAGAGTCGTATTTGGTCGTTGTAATGCTCGATCTGGGATCTTTTAATGTATTAGAAATAAAAGAATTTCTTCTATTTTTGTTAATTCTATTACTCAAAGTTGATCAATAAATATTTTTCTATAAAAAGTCGATAAAGAACAGTGAGTTCAAAATGAACTTCTTCCTGAAGAAAAAACAAATATCAATGTTAATAGTGACTCCAAATTTGACTAATAAATATTAT